TCTGCAATCCTTTGCAACATGTCCTGTCCTGTTGCACTTAAGACATGTGGTACATTTCCCCAGATGTTGTTTATTGCACTTGTCACACTTTGGGTAGACTCCCTTGCCCTTTTCTCCTGCTTGAGATTGAGCTCCAAAGTTCCTTATTACTTTTTGGTTTTTACCTAAGTCATTTTTGGTTCTTTTCTATGATTGCCCTTCAAACTTCCTCTTTCCACCAAATTTGTCTTGCTTTAAAACCCCTGATCTAACTGCATCATTTGTCAGACGGTTTGCCAACACCACTGCGTTGTGTATAGTGGTTGGGCTTGCTGAAGTGACCATCCCTCAGATTTCAGGTGCCAATCCCCAAAGATACCGATCAATTCGTTTCTCGTCTGGAGTGACCATATGAGGTACTAACTTTGCAAGCTCATAAAAACGGGCTGTGTATTTGTCTATCTCCATTCCAATCATGGTGTGATTCCAGAATTCAACTTCCAATTTCTGAATTTCGCTCTTAGAACAATATTCTTCGATGAGTAACTTTTTGAGTTCTTCCCATGATAATTCATAGGCAGCTTGACGACCACAAGTTTGAACTTGTATGTTCCACCAAGTTAGGGCTCTTCMCTGGAGTTGGCATGTTGCGTACTCCACCTTACAGTCTTCGGAACACTTGCTAATATGGAGTACCGACTCCATACTCTCAATCCATGATAATAATCCAATTGCACCTTCTTTACCATAAAACTCCTTGGGCTTGCAAGACATGAATGTCTTGTAACTGCATCCTCTATCATTGGTGTTACGGTTCTCCTCTCATGCGGGATTCTCGGTACTAGGGCCTCCTTCACTCATTTGATTTGCATTAATACCTGCCGTGACCTGAGCGAAAATAGTTGGTACTGCCTCTCGTAAATGTTGAGCTATTAACTGTGCTATATCAGGTGTTTGGCTTTCAGAATTTTCTCTCGTGCTGTGAGTATTCCTTCTTGGAGGCATACTTCTAATACACATATTGTAAATCGAAGTTCGTTTATTCTTATTATTTACCACTGTGTCACCCGATATGATACAATCATCTAATCATGTAATCAAGATAACAACAACTTATACTAACAAGGCATTAAATCTATAATCAATAAAACTTAACTATCTATAGGCAAAAATCTCATAGGATCCATAAATTAAATATAAGTGTGCAATATAAAGAAAATTGTTCACAAACCACGGCTATAAGCCTCAAAAGAAAGTCTTAAAGTTCAACCATCAATAACTTAACAATTAAAATCTTCTAACGCAATAGACTCCAAATGAACAACCCCATCACTATCATCAAAGCTCCTGCTATCACCGCCAAGTATATGTGCAACCTCTTGATCGCCCTCCTAGCTATGAAGATCAACTCTAATGAGCGATCCATCATACTATCTTGAGTGCCTATAGATGTGATCACTCCATCTGCAAAGTGTCGATAATGCTCCAGCCTAAGCTGACATATCTCCAAATCTTGAGATATACCCAAAATCCACAATTTCTCCAGGGTAGTCATACCCGGAGTACCCTCTGATGTGGTCCTGGTAGCGGGTGGAGGTGTTATACTA